TTGCCTTCTGTTTCATCAGTCAGTTGTTCCTTTTACTGCTTACCTTCTAGAAATTTAAGATCATTATCCACCTGTGTATCCTATTATACATGAGGAGGATAATTAGGAAATATTCCAGTACTATCAGTTCTACAGTATACTTCTTGCTTTGAATATGTCTTCTGTCACCAAAGTCAAAGAAAGGTCTCAGTTTGCGGAGGGTTTTCTTTACGGAAAGGAATTGCTTTATACCTTTAGTGTCTGATGTTTCTTCATAAAATGACTCCATATTCCCCAAGGCTTTGCCTCTCAGAACTCTGCTTCCTTTGTGCATGGCAAGGATTTGGGGGGGCTTCAGGAGGAATATGATATTCAGAGTGCCTATATGGTCTAGGACCAAGCTTTCAAAAACTCTTCTCTTTCTGCGTTCGTGAGAGTTCCCAAGAAACAGACCAAACTCCAGTCTGAGAATCAGGGCTTAGAAGCTGATTTTGTAAGTTGGTTGTGCCTGTGCTGTGTGATGGTAATGCTCTCTTTTGTGGTTTTTGTTTTGTTTTGTTTTTTGTTTTTTGTTTTTTTGAGACAGAGACTCACTCTGTTGCCCGGGCTAGAGTGCCGTCATGTCAGCCTAGCTCACAGCAACCTCAAACTCCTGGGCTCAAGCAATCCTCCCGCCTCAGCCTCCCAGAGTGCTAGGATTACAGGTGTGAGCCACCTCCCCTGGCCTCTTTTGCCTCTTTTGAAGTTAGGGTACCTCCATTCATTTAGTCACAAATAGAATAATTTCCATTTCAATAGCACTTTGCCTCTTTGAGGAACTCTTATAAAATTCTGAGGAGAATCTACCATAATCATAAGTTATGGATATTTTTTTTTTTCAAGAGAGACAGTAGTTTAAGAGAGAATGCTCAGAACCAGGAGTCTGGATAAAACTGTAACATCTTTAGTTTACTGAAAAATTAACTGTTTTAGGCACTGCTGCTTAAAAACATTTTTCTTTAGTCTTCACAACAATCTCATGAAGTGGTAGGTGTAGATATCTCCTTTAAACTTGAGGAAATTAATGCTCAGAGAGGTTGAATAATCCATAGAGCTAAGACTTGAACCCAGATCTATCTGAAGTGAGTCCCGTATAAGTAAGCCCCCAAACTCAGGACCCCCAAAGAAAGCTCCCATCTTATAGATAGGATTCAGACCTCTTTTTGCTTCCCCAGTGTTTTCCAGCTCTGTGTGTCTGGAACTGGATCCTGACCAGGCACCCTTAGTAGAGTCTTTAGGGCCCAGGCTCCAGGACTCACTCAGTACCCAGAATGATTGATGGAACGTACAATTTCAATTTCAAGAGAGAAGCATGCAAGTTTTGAGGGGCACAAAATAGGCTGAAGTAATAGAGATTGGGTTGTGCAATTCTTGTTTGAGAGGTAAAGAATAACATTTAAGCAGGGAATAATGAGTAATGAGTAATGAATGAGTAATGAATGATTGAGTAATCAGATGAGTAGATGAGTAATGAATGAGTAGTGAATGATTCTGTAAAGACTTATGTTAGGACTTTTCATAATATAATCTTTATGTTGAGAGCTGTATTTGTAGACATGTTAAATTATTTAGTTTAATTGTAACATTTGGGACCAGTACAATTTTATTGAAAATTTAGCTATCTTTAAGCAGAGGCATTATAAAGTTAAAGCTGTTTTATTCAAAGGTGGATGTTATAAGAGATCATGGGAGGGAGGCTTTTTTGGTAGAGAATATTTATCTAAATAATTTGGTGTCTATTTCTTTAATCCAATCTTGAAGATTTTTATTTTTTTGCATGGTTTTATATAGGTAGATAATTGATTTAGAT